CCAAAGAGGGCAGAGCAGGAACTGTTTCAACTTCCCAGATATCATGTAATGTGACGTCAGTGAGCTGCACACAGCACACTGGTGTTTACCAACCAGGCTGGTCTGTGCAATTCTTTTATTTTTTATATTTATACCAAAGGGAGGAGAGATGAAAAAGATCTGGAGTCAGTGAGTACAGCTCTTTCTGGGTAGATTACGTACTTCTGTGGCAGCCTTGAGTTACCATTCATTACTTCCTCTGGGTAGAAAAATAAGAAACGTTGCCTTCGAAACTCAAGGAGTATACTCAAAGTGTATTCCCTGCATCGTATTCCATCTATAGACTTTATATAAGAAGTGGACGTAGTCGTCAGGATGTCACTCATTGGTTTGTGGACTGCCGTTTTGAAGCCTCAAGTTTGGTGTTTTGGCTGTCACCATCTTGGATTTTTGCAACCAGAAGACTTGAAACTAGAGATTGAGACCATACACTCATGTTTACAATGTTTACTGAGGTAATAAATCAAGAGAGAAGTAGTCATTTTCTCATAGACTTCTATACAACCAGAGGAGTCGCCCCCTGATGGACATTAGAGAGAATGCAGCTTTAAGACACTTCAGCATTGGCTTCACTCTTCAGAACCAGAGGTTGCCACCTGATTTCATCATCTCACCTGTACCTAAAAAGACATGCCCACCAATGCCCGAGTGTTTTTTGGGAACAAACGGGCCGAGGTAGGTTGAACCATTAAAAAAATAGCCCCTGACTAAAAGTATATGGACATGGGTGACCACGTTCTATTGCCTGTGTGATTGAGAAAGAAGCCTAAAAAATCTGTCGCATTGTAATAACCGTGGCAGGATTTAAGCACTCATTTTAAGCCGTTACGTCTTTGTCAAGCAGAACTCAATTAGATCTTCATCCAGACACAATTTGTCATCAAAATGCAGCAACAGTCTACAGAGCTCCGGCCTTGGCTTCTCCTCCACATAACACGACTACACAATGCAAAAAGAAAAGAAAACCACTTCAGGTCAGCGCTGAGGCCGTGGTGTTCGGTTACTAGGGAAACTACCAACTTGTGCACTTTTGAGAGAAAGACGTGGAAGAAGGAGAGGAGATGGAGAGAAAGAGGGAGTAGCTATGTATAGCTATGTTGAGGATGAAAGAGGCAGGGAGTAGCCAGGATCTACATGCATCAATAAAACATGAGGTTGTTCTCCGATATGCTAACATGAATTATTTGACAAGCCGACCCACTTCTCCGTCTCCCCCTCCTCCCTATTTCTGTACACTCTCCTCTCTATTCTTACACCTATTCTCAAAAATCTCAATCTCCTCTCAGAGCGGCGTCTTCACCGAATGATCTAGAGCTCAGCGGGTTTCTGAGTCTCCCTCTGTGCAGAGTGATTCTGCCCCTTTATAGATTCTCTCCTTTTTAACTATATCCATGCGTTTTGTGTGGGTTCTCTCTCAGCCTCCGCCTTTTGTATCCGAGTCTGAGGGAGAGACGCATGCAGACGTCAGCTGGGCTTTCGATGAGGAGGAGAGCAGTCGGCACACAAGACGAAGCAGAGAAAGAGCTCATAGAGTCTGTGAGCTGCTTCTCTTGCTAGCTCCTCTCTATCCGGGACCATCTCCGTCTAAGTTTCTCTGTCTTAACCTGGGTTTATTGCTAAACTCATCACGTATTTCTCAATTTTCACACTAAAACTTGAACTCTTAGTCGAGATGCATCAAGACAGCATCTCGTTTAAGATCCTAAGAACACATATTTAGTTCTGAGGGCATTTCACTCGCGTTAAAAGCTGAAATAATCATGGATTCAAAATTAAGAAGCTGTCATCGGAAACTGTTTGTTTGGGAAAGGGCAGGACCTTTCAAAACCGATACTTTGCAGGTGATTGGATGAACCATCTGTCAATCAAACTCTTGCCAAAGCCAGTCAGAGAAAAGCCTTCGATACCGTTGTTTGCTTTTCTCTTGCGATGCAGAAATACTCTCCGGTTTTGATGTAACTGATGCTACATCTACGCTAACCTCTTCATGAGCCGCCATTGATGTTTAGAACGAACAGTCGCCTCACTGTGTTGTCACACACCTAGATCACACCAGTAGCTCCTCAGAGGACGCTGACCGGTCTGAACCACTGGGGTTCTGGGTCTGTGAGGTCTCTAGCAGCTTCTTCCCTCCCATCGCTTTGTCTCCGGTGCTTCCAGACGGTTGGTTTCTGCCCTTGTGCTGCGGATGCCAACCAACCCCCATAGTCTGGGCATAGTCCTAGTCTTTCAACCGGTGTGTTTTAAACCGTTTAAACCGCTAAAAGGCCAAACTGAGTGTCTACATGTGAAATATGACGTTACACTCCATAGTTCTTTGGTCTTCCTTGATGATCCGCTTCCTGACGTCGTCTTGCGGTCTGGTTGCCGGTTATTTGCCATCGAAGCAGGACGTTGGGTGGCCTTTCTTGAAAAGTTGTTTCTTGGCATCACCGCCACAGCCTAAACGCTGTAACCACATTCAAATGCATGGGAGGCCTGATTTGGTGTGAATGCAGCCTTACTTTCACCTTTACCACAACTTCTGCATGCACCTCAAGCCGTACCTCAACCGTAACTTGTTTTTACTCTGTAACTTAGACGAAACTCTGAATTGTAGAAAGTCTTAACCGTTAAATAGATGGTTGCCTTTTAGGGACATTTCTGTCCACAGATGGGAGCTGAGTCCCCACAAGTTTGGTTCCCACAGCGGGAGCGCACACACACATAAAGGACGTGAACCAAATCCAATCCTTTATGCCTTTTTAAATAGTCCCAGAGCCCTTGGAAACGTGTCAGTGCTGCTGAGGCCAACACACATACCCGCAAGCATATTTTGTACTCACAAATGCGCGCACACACACACACACACATTCTCAGATGCTTCAACCAGCCAGTGAGGGCTGGTTCGCTGCCAACTCAGGAATTGGCAAACTGGCAAATCTCAGATCATTTTAAGTTAGTTGGACAGAGACGGCCTTTAACATTAAGATGCTTTTGGGAAGCCTGAGGCCTGAGTTCCCAAAACTATGGATGGTGGTCAAGACTTATTCCACTGCACTAAACTCAAGGGACACAATGCAAGTTCGAGTCTAGTGTTAAGAGAGGGAGAGAGAGAGAGAGAGAGGGAAGTTAAATCTCAAGTCCGGAGTTCAAGTTAGGTCTCAAGTCTCCCAACGGTTTTCCTTGGCAACAATGATTCTGGACATTTCATTTCCAATTCAGTAATTCGTCAGCAATTCTGACTACCTCATAGCAAACCGCAGGTTTTACTTCTATTTTTTCAGTTGAAAAATCTTTTGTTGCATTCTTTGCACCTGCAGATAAACATAGAAATCATCAAGAAGATGTAGTAAAATGCTTAACTTCTTACATCTCTATTATAGGAAACAGCTACAAAATCTGAATTGCTAATGAGCAGAGTTGTAATAAATAAACACGGTTACAATTCAGTAATTTTAACACAGTAAGTGAAATCAGTGTAGCATCATTCGGTAATAATGCCACCTAACCTGTTTCATAACCTGCCTCACAACTTTGTAAATACCATCTGTCAGAAGAAGATGGCACCGTCTGACACCTGTGCAGATGTGTTTTCCAGGTGCTTGTGCAGCTGAATGTAGTTTGAGTTCTTTCATCCACGTTATGTACACAATACAGTTATTCTACTTCACCCAAGGTCTTTGAAGTCCGACAATTCAAAGGATATAGCTGTTATAAAGGCGGCAACCTCCGGGTCTGAGGAGTGAAGTCAAAGCTTCATGTCTTAAAGCTGCATTCTCTCTAGTGTCCACCAGGGGGCGACTCCTCTGGTTGTATAGAAGTCTATGAGAAAATGACTCTACTTCTCTCTTGATTTATTACCTCAGTAAACATTGTAAACATGAGTTTATGGTCTCAATCTCTAGTTTCAAGTCTTCTTCAATACAGCATGATGTTCATAAAGTACATTATGGTCCATTTAGAGTCAAACAGACCATAAAGCAGGGAATGCTTTAGGGTGGGGCTACACAGTGATTGACAGGTCTCTAATGTCTGTTTTTGTCCTCTCCGTTCATGAAATGAAATTTGAGAAATTCTGACTCAAATTCTGGTGCCCATCTCTGCTATAGAAGCAAGAACGCTTTTGGGGAAGTATAGATGAGCCTTGAACAGTTGAAGCTCTCTTCTGATACCTGAACATTGAGGGACGCTGCACTGAGCGAATGTATTGTAAGTGTAAACGTGACGCAAGGTGGTGTTGGAGAAAGAGCAGATACGCTGAGCAAACCTTCCCTGGAAAATGGGAAGTGAAGAGCTTCCAGCTCCTGCTTAGTGACATCAGGTCCGTCACAACGAACAAGTGAGCAGTGTTGAGCTGGAAGGGAAGAGAGAGAGGCAAGTTTCTGTTAGCGGCGGAGAGACGTTCAAATACAAACAGAGGTGTCAAAGAATCTGTAAAGGACCGGAACGACATTATTCATCACACGTTTTTGACCTCTGACCTCTCTGCAGGAAGGCAAACAAGAGACGCACAACAAGAAAAGACCTTCTCAGAACCTACATTTATTATTTAATCATCACGTTGCCGTTTCTTAACTTCTCTCGACAGGTGGTGTTTGAGTGGAAGCCGTGCGCTGCGTTTTAATTGAGCCGTTGGTGTCTGTGATGAATCATATCATATTCTTTGTTATTAGCTGTTGGCTAATGAGCACAAGCTATTACCATCTGTCAGGGAGCGGGAATGTGTTTCGCTTGATCGGTCGCTCTTAATTATCTCAATACATTGTGAAAAAAGAGAAGATGGCCTCAAACCAGCAACCATACAGTTAGAAACCTACTTGTAACTTCCAAGCGAAGGTTTTGTCTCATAATATATAAAGTGTTTAACTATAAGAATTATTGTGTCACTGGGACTTTATCTGATATAAGTTTAACGTCTGGGTCAGCCCCTCGCTAACCTTGATTTGACCGAGCATTCCCTTTTGTCTTCCTTATCTCAGCGTTTGATCCAGTACCTGGCCTCCAGAAACACTCTGTTTAACCTGAACAACTTCCTGGATAAGGGAGCCCTGCAAGGTAAAGCGCACACACACACACACACACACACACTACGAGCTCTATCCGTGTTGTGATTAGCTTCTGAAGAAGCAGATGGGCAGGATGTGCCTCAAAGACATCACAAAACAGACAGTTTATAGGACGGATGGTTTTCTCACATAACGCACTCTGTATGTGTCCCTCCTTCTCTCCTCTCCTTGTTCCCTCCTCTCCTTGTTCCCTCCCAGGTTACGACATGTCGACCTTCATCAGACGATACAGCCGTTATCTGAACGAGAAGGCCATGTCCTACAGACTGGTGGCTGTGGATTTCACCAAGATGAAGAGGGGGTAAAGGAGGCCACACACACACACACACTCTTTCAGCACTTAAGTTAGCGAATGGCAAAAGACAGAAACTGAAAGTTTTCTTTTTTTCTTTGCAAAGTCTCTTGTTTTGATGGCAGTATACACTCTCTATACTAAACCGTGTATGTTACAGTAGAGTATCTTCTAAACCATGCTAATGTCTTAATAATAGACTGAAGCTGAAAATTGTATCTGCCCAGTAATTTTTTTTATTTAACTTAAGCAGTTGAATAAAAACGTAGAAGTAGTAGCTTACTTGCTTTTATGCTTTTGTGAGAGACCCGTTTTGTGGGGACCCTTTGCCTACAGAGCGGGGGTCCCCAGACTTCAGGTCTGCTGTTTAACCGCTCTCAAAATAGAGTGAAACAGCTGGCCTGGTTGACGCCACCATGAAGGAAGCAAGGAAGTCACTAATCCAGGCCAAAAGATACTAGACATGTACCCGTATGAGGTAAAATTAGTGTTTTTGTCAATGGAGTCCTGTGACTTTGAAGCGAGTATAGATAACGGCTTCAGTTCCCCGTCAGCTGTGAGAATATTCTGAATAAGACACTTAAACTGATCATATTTTTAGGTGTATCAAAATACATTTTGCTGCCGCACATTGCTCTTCTCCCGCGTTGGTACAAACAGCTGACCGCCATCTACTGTAGGGAAAACACTGTGGATGTGAGTTCCTCATACAAGCCCACCTGAAAACATCTGAACTGTCCCTTTTAATGTCGGCCATTGTAACATTTGAATGCATCGACGGAGAACGCGGCCTTGCTGGAGGCCTGTGTAAATATATGTAAATATGACAGTGGGTGCACTGTTGTGTTAGGAAGATCATTTCAATATCAGAAAGTCCAATGGTCGTCGAATGAATCCTTTGTCCTGCCGAAAACCCGCTGAGCAGACTGTCATTATCCGTTTGCAAAATGTGTTTCAGTCGCCGTTTGTTGCAGGACTTTCCCCGCGAGTAGTCGTTGCCTTGCATTACTGAGAAAACCTTTTTGTCCCGGTTTTTTCCTCATCATTTCATCCTTTTTTAATGCGTACACCCTAATTTGCATCAGAAATCGTTTCCCTCAACAAGGTGCCCGTTACTATTGTGTGTGTTTTTTTTCGTGCTCTGCCAGGATCGACGGCGTGATGCGTACCATGAACACAGAGAAGCTGATCAAGACGCTGCCCATCATTCAGAACCAGCTGGATGCTCTGCTGGATTTCCAGGTACTAAGTGTGTGTGTGTGAGAGTGTGTGTGTTTTGCATACGTGTGTCTTTATGCGCGCTTGTCAAAGTTGTGGTCGATTCACTTTCCAATCAAAATGTAAATAGAAACAGTTTGCAAAGTTTGAAACCTCTCTTTATTGATGGAGTATAAGAAGCATATCATGGCGGCACATTTTGAGTTTAAGTGTGTGTGTGTGTGTGTGTGTGTGTGTGAGAGAGCCTGCACAGAGGGGAGAAGGGGATTGGGTGGAGATTTGTAGAAATTGGTGAGTGCATTGTGGTTTGTGCCGGCGAGCTTCAAAGAGCAGATGCAGATGGATCGTTTTCCCACCTAAACTAAATTGACAGTTGGTGTGTGTGTGTGTGTGTGTGTGTGTGTGTGTGTGTGTACTTCATAGCAAAGAGCGCGAGAGAGAGGTGGTAGTATTCAGGAAAAAATATGTCTGAAAGATGTTTTTTCTTTTTTCTGAAGAGCTTCAGAAAGATGTGATAGAGACGTCTCGTTGACCTGCTCTCTCTCTGTCTCTCTCTACCTCTCTCTCTGTCTCTCTCTACCTCTCTCTCTGTCTCCCCCTCTCTTTCTCCCCCCTCTCTCTCTCTCAGGCTAACCCTAATGAGCTCACCAATGGAGTGATCAACTCAGCCTTCATGCTGCTCTTCAAAGACTCCATAAGGCTGTTTGCTGCTTACAATGAAGGGGTCATCAACCTATTGGGTAACACACACACACACATACACACTGGTCATAATGCTTTTACCTGCAATAAATAACAGATATTAAAGTATACTTCGCTCTGCCTTTCTGCAGCTTTCAGCTAAAAATAAATAGGAAATGAGTTCATTGAACTAAACACAAAAGGCACCAATGAATGAATGCATTTCTACTAATACTCTCTTCCAATTAACTTTTGCAGTCTTTCACGATGTGTTTGTTGTGCAAGTTGACATTGCAATGGATATAAAAAACATTTTACTCTGTAGCTCTGATAGACACACACACACACACACACTCACTCTGCTAGGATGCACAGCCGACATGCTAACATGTGTCAGAAATGATGAGGTGTAAGTATAGCTACACTTTGTTTTGCGTGTACAAACCCAGCAGCACACACACACACACACACACACACACACACACACACACACACACACTGTGGTTTCCTAGCAGCAGAGTAGGTTTTGACATGCTCTCATGTAGCTGCTTCCGTTTGTCACCAATCAATCATGTACTGATTCCTGCCTCCTTCCTTCCTTTCCATCTCCTTTTTTAAATCCTTATTTCTCTTTTCTGTGTCTGTAGAGAAATACTTTGACATGAAGAAGAACCAGTGCAAAGATGCTCTGGACATCTACAAGAAATTCCTTTGCAGGATGACGAAGCTGTCGGAGTTCCTCAAAGTGGCCGAGGTATATTCACACACGCACACACATACAATCAAAAATACGTGTGCAAACACACATCAGGAGTACATTTTTTTTCTAGCGTCGATTTTCTCAAATTTTACCCTCGAGCAACTCCTGTTTAAACGACCTTTTTTACCCTTTTTCCTCATAATTTCTCGTCTGTTCCTCGTCCCGACTAAATCCCCTAAACACGTATACTTACACACATCCTCAAACACCTCTTTGGATCGCCTTATATCCAACACAAAGACCCCATACTGTCGCAGTTTTTGCTCACACAGCTACTGTACCGTGAGCAGACAGCAGTAACCGACTTGCCCTCACTGCCCCACATTTGCTGTGCAGACACTTACACACATACATGTGTGTATATATGTGTATATATATATATATGTGTCTGTATACACCCAAAATAACCATAAGATGGAGGATGTGGTTTGGCGCTCCATTAGCTCTGCTCCCCACACTCCTCCATATAATCCTCTGTTCTCTCGCTCTCTTGCCCCTCTCCTCCTGACAAAGATGGATACTCGTGCGGCTCTCCCTCGCCCAGTGCCCACAGATCATCCCTCTTTCTCCCTCTCTCTCTCTCTCTCTCCTCCCGTGCCCTCTTTCTTCCCTCCCTCCTTTGTTTCAGCCGACTTGAAACAGTGAGAATCAGCTACTGTCACATACATTGGTGGTTCACATTCTCTGCATTAATGTAAATGGTCCCAATCAAACCCCCTTTTGTCTTTTATAATTAGATTTTAAGGAGCGCTCTGGAAAATAATGCACGTGTTCTTTTACAGACAAAACAGCGCTTAGTTTAAAAAAACAAAATGCATTCATTCAGCGAGTAAATGTATGATTTGCTCCTTTTGTACACTACACGTCTCGGACATTTTTCTGAAGCTTAACTCTGATCTGGAATCTGTTTGCTAAAAGTATTACATCAATCTAAATGATTACCCAGGCAAAGTTGTCACCCCTAAAAGCATTTAGAGTATGTGTTTGGACGCTCATTGTGATGAGACATATATTATGTCCACAAGTTGACAACTTTCTCAGATTTTGCACAATGATGCACGTAAACAGGCTGCTGCACACGGCCTTTAGCTTGTTTACCGCCCACTGTTCTGCCCACAAGATGCTGTTGGAGTTTAACAGAGAAGAGTAAAATGAACATGAAATATTGGTTTTGATAGATTGGGCTCTTAATGGTCATTGTCCAATAATTAGATCTTTGAAATAATTGTCCATTATTTCCAAATTTATCCATTTGTTTGAATTTAGATGTGTAGAACATGTTTCATCCTCCAGAGATACAAAATCAAAACAGATTATGGCAGATGGATATGATTCAAAAATGTAATTGAATAAATGGTAAAAAATAAGAAAAACATACGGACAAATGGTCAAAGAAATGTGTCACGTTAGCATCACAATGTACCAGAAACGGTGGCTGTAGATTGTTTTTCTACAGTAGGATAGTGCATGCGAGTCTCGCTAATGGCCGCCGCTCTGTACTGCGCTCCTACTGCCGGTAAACAAATAAACTAAAACGGTAACAGCGGCTAACGTTGTCGCCATGTTGAGAGCAGTGTGGAGGCAATGGAACGGAATCTTGGGTTGCCACTTTTGGATAAGAAAAAAAGATGCCGCTATTATCATATTTTTTAACTTAACGAAAATTAGAAAATCCAGAAAGTAAAGCTTAATAGCAGGAGCTTGATGTCTAGAATGGTGCTCAATATGTAATTGGGAGCATATCTACTGCCTCCACATGGAGAGGGCTGAGTCGGCGGCTAGCAGCTAACAGTGCTAGCAGCGCTAGCAGCGCTAATGGCCGTTAGCAGCTTTACCGGCTGTATTAGGGCAGTGCAGAGCGGCTCGGACTACAACACACACAGAGGGAGAGAGACTTCATTCCCTGCTCAGGTAGACATTACTGCACAATATCTTCACATAGCGAATGGTTGCTTTCTGCTATATTAATGCTCTGAATGTTGGTTTGTTAAACAACCGCGGCCATGTTTTAAAAGTCCAGGACTTAATGTTCTTTATCTGTGTCCCGACGAGTCACACAAACGTTACCTGTCTGAGTTGTTTTGGAGACGATCTTTGCGTAGTGATTTTTTTAATTTTTTTTAAATGAATATGTTCAGTGTTGTCACATCATGAATCATCAGTCGCCATTGCCCGCCTTCCCTCATTGGTCAGACATATTTATCCCCGTCCAATCACCATCGTCATTCACTGTGAGGATTGGTCGGCTCCTCGGCCAATCCAGATGTCGACAAACCTTTCCTTGTTTATTTCTGTTGTCATTTATGTTGACACTGCCACTGCATGAAGTAATGATTCCCCTGTTTTTTTTTTTTCTTTTTCTCATCTTCTATTTTATTATTTTACAAATGGACCCTGCTCTTCTTCTCCATTTATCCCACCTACCTTTTTCCCTTTTTTTATTTTTTATTTGTTTGTTTTTGACGACAGCAAGTTGGAATAGATCAGGGTGACATCCCAGATCTCTCACAGGTCAGTATACATCTCACCTTCCACTTCCTCTTCCCTCTCTATTTCTCATTCTCACCCCTTTTCTCGCCTTGTTTTTCTTCTGGCTTTTCCTTCTACATGTGGTTTCCTCGCTCCCTCTGGACGATCACCTTATTTCAACCCCCCATATATACGTGTGTTCCCCCTCTTAACAAGAGTTCACTCATTCTCTCTGCTTCACTCGCCACACGCACTCATTTCTTTTAATTTCAAACAACCATCTCGTCGGACCCGATCTCAGTCTAGGCAACTCCCCTCTGGTTTGATTGATTTCCTGCTTTCTCTTTCACTTCTAAACACTCATTATAGATCCAACGACAGGCTGAGGTATGTTAAATTGGCCTGCCTATCCACCGCACCATCAGCAGGCCTCCTGCAGGTTTCAACTGTGAACAATGAGCTCAGACCTTGGATCTACAAAAAAAATAATGATGATTGCAACAACAAAGGGCTTGAAAAACAACACAGCATCGCTACAAGGGAATAAACTACATTTCTCTTTTTTAATCGTCAAGGATCAATTTGCCATTTTATCTTATTGTGAATTCAAAGGAATCTGTTCAAGCTCTGTTTTCATCCTCCTAATGGTTTATGGGAGGAGCTGAGAGAGTCTCTAGATATCCACAGCAGAGATTGTATATTTTAATCAGCCATTAAGAATTCAGCTTAAAGCAATACTTCACTCACAAAATGACAATTTGTACATCAGTTACTCTCCTCATGCTACCTTGAATTCTTAGAGGAAACATCGACACACTTTGGTTTAGCGTTTAAATGATTTGTTTGATTATTAGGACAGGAAACGTATCAACAATAAGGCTGTAACTAACGATTATTATCATTTATCAAGTCGTTTGATCTGTAAAATGTCAGAAATTATGAAAAATGTAACGACTTCCTAAAGCCCGAGGTAACGTCATTTAAATGTCTTGTTTGACAAACGGTCCAAAATTCTACGATTCTGGAATCATGCTTCTCCAAAGATGCATGTACCTACGTGCAGAATGGGGTATTATGGGTAAACGCATGTTCACCTACGCCAACCAGGAGATCCACATCAAAGACAGTTTCATCATCTCTGCTGTGCTTCAACACAGCGGTCCGACGACTCCATTTTTAGCGCCAGATGGAGAGCAAAGTTCAGCCCCGAGTATCAACAGACTGAGTTTAGGAAACTGGCACATTTCTCAATAATGACAATAATCATAAGTTACAGCCCTGCTTAGTTTTACAGTTTATTAAACTACGGTTACTTTGCCACGCACTTGTATTGAAAAGCTGCCACTCTGTACGTGTTTACCGACAGATCTAACTAACTGTTCACAGCCTCTGAACTTTAGTCGTGCATTAGTAAAAACATGGTGGTGGAGTGTGAAGCTGGAGGTTAACAGCATGTGGATTGACTGTGTGGGTGTTGAACTCATGAAGTAAAGCTGCAAAGTTAAATGGACGTTTCTCTTCCCCCCCCCCCCGCCTGTCGCAGAAAACAAAAGGATCATACATTGTAGGTGGTGGGTTGCATACTGTACTGCTTACCCCCCCCCC